ATGGAAAAATGTGTAGTCTCAATTTTCATGCGATTATATATACAAATCATGTTCTCTATATTTTACATAAAGAGATCTTGAAGTTTAGTTTGGTTGCATAGAGTGTGTTTGGAATATTTAGGCTTATGCATAACACTAGATGAATGGAAGATGGATAACTCGAAAGCAGAAGACCAAATACTAAGATTTTTTCGACAATATCAAGCCCTCCATCTTCAATGTAGATCAGGTTGAAAGCTTTTCTACTAATTCGATCATACTTCTACTCTCAATAACTAAGCAATTTTTTGTGGAACATAGGTGTATGCCAGCGTCCGCCAGACTCATTAACTCATGCTTTTATTCTATTACACGTTGTGTCCATGACGCTTTATTATGTTTGCTTCTGCATTTAAAATATGGCTTGAGCTGTAATGATAAGCTTTGAAGACCTTATGTGGAGCACAGGCTAAAAATTACGTAGCTGTGTATAACGAATTGCTAAATTATGTCAGACATTTTTCTGTGTTATAATTAATTTGCCTGTAGCTATATAGCTACTCACAAAAAGTGTCAGTAGAATGATGCGTTTTAGAAACTTAAAGCTAAGTGTGACAGCTTCAATTCAGTATATATATTTCAGTATAAATACAGTATATAAATGAGTGTTTCAGGCATAAGCAAACTAATGTTATTATTAGTAACCATAATTATGATTATTAATATAACTCTCTCAAATATTTCATCGAAGTGCAACAAAACGTGGTGACCTTCAGTAGAGAGAACGTGTGCGCAGCGAGAGATTGTGTAACAGTGTGTAACTTTGTCTCTCACTACCATACACCGTGTGCGTGTGTGTGAGCAAATCCCTGTGAATTGCAATAAGCAGTGAGAATATTCACTCAGATGCGAGAAAATTAGTTGAGATATTCAAGTCACCGTAATAATAATATAATCAATATCAACATTATTAATAATATTATTATAATTGTGAATATTGATATTTATTCATACAATAAATACAAAAGAGTATTTCTTCAAAATATAATCAGTCAATGCTTTGTGTTATCGGAAGATTCAGGTTATCAGAAGAATGTTGGTTAATTAGAAATAGTGGTGTCACACTGATAAAACTCATAACGTCTTCATTAGCATCTCAATGAACACATGAGAGATATTATGGTTTCTGTGGTTGAATATAATCTGCGTAGACAAGATTTTGTTTTATTCTCAATAGACTCATTCTGATATATTTATTTCACATTCAGATTTTCATATGCACATTGACCACGTTTCTCTTACTTCACCTGAATTTCTCCACATCGTCTTACTCATTCTTCCGCATTCGCTGAATTTTCACGACGTTCCTAGTGAAACTGGCTTCTTTGGCTGTTCACGTGTTTGTTCGTTTGAGTGATTTGTGAATGTATTCCTTAGAGTTTCAGATCTGTAGGACTATTTCACTTCCCTGACCCCGTCTGCACTAACACACCTCTCCCTCTCATCATTCACACCATGTCAAAAACAACTAAACAATAAGGGAATGAATGTGTGAATGGATGGATGGCTAATTGGGTGAGTGTGAATGCAGATAATCTGGCAAAGAATTGACATGAGGGAATTAGTAATTTGTGGTAGATCCAGAGGAATAGCCTGACCTACTTACTGATTCGCAAATACCTGGAAACTAGGATTCTCATAAATCTGTGTGATGTACATGCATTGATCAACTAAACTCACACTTGCAAATGAGCTGAATGCGAAGCGTGGAGACGGGTATGTTAGAAATTTACCTACATCTGTGCCTTTTGTATAGTAGTCATTCATGCATATTGTCATCAGCAAAGTACAGTTTCACATTCACCAGTGTCTGCAGATACTTTAACACAGAAATCTGAGACTTCTTGTCTCCTGTCTGATGTGAATTTTAGTCATATTTTGTGTTTCTCACTTTTTCTGAATGTCACATAAAACATACTCCATTGGAATTTCAATACATCTTATACATTTCAAGGTTTCAGATTTAAATGCGAAATTCTATCATGCAGATTTCCAAGTAGCTACACACTATTATTTCAGAATCTATCTTAATTCAGTCGATTTGTAAGATATTTACCAGTCTTCGAAATCCTTCCTTCGTTCCATACTCCTTTTGTCTTTTCTTCGTTCCTTTCATCGCCCGGTGATTACCTGTGTTGACAAATAATAGTAGTCATAATAGTGATGATTACATGTTTACATATTTTGAGTGAAGCTAATAGGTTCACACAACTATTTTGATGACGTATTTGTCCAATAGCGAAGTGTCATGAAATTGTGTGAAAATTTCAGTGGAAGTGTTAGCTTTGACGCTTTCTACTGACAAGTTCACACACACTTATAACATCTGATACATCTGTTCAATTGAATGACAATTCTAGATATTCCTCAGACATTCACTGTTGGCTCTGCTGTTCAACATGCTACTAGTTGTGGATGTCTTTACATGACAAATGACTTCAGGATTCACATTTCACCACAGTGTTGAAACGTCGAAAGTAAACGCTTTCCAGATGAACCATCGAATAACACTTGGTATTAGGAGTTTTCCAAGTTATAAATTCACTAGATACGCAGCATAAAATGATGATACATTTGGATCCATGTGAATGTTGTCTGAATCATATTTACTTCACTCACTCACTCACGTCCAGAATTTGATGGCTCAGCATTCCTTTAAGAGAAGGAATACTAGGAATTGTGCCACACTAGTAGGTCCAAGACAAACAGATAACTTACACTTCAAGTAATTTTCTTTCTCTTTCTGGCGACCTGCTTAAAGCTTAGGCCACCACTTTTTTTCATCATTTATATTGCATCTGATTACTCGGATTTATTTTGTTTTAAATATTCATTTACGCGTCCCAATCGTGTTATTTACTCTCGCGATTATTTAAAATGTTTTCAACCTGATGATAAACATGTTTAGAATAACCTCAAGAAAGAGCATCATGGTGAGTGGCAACAAGCCTCGAAGTGTACTCCGATGCATCAGATGACTGTTCCTGTGATTATGAAAACTAATTGCAGGTCACTACTGAAGAAGAAGAATTACGTGAATGCTTTGTTATGTTCAGATATTTATCGTAATACAAGTGTAATAACGCTTCAAGAAACTTGTCTCTACAATATACATGCCGACAATTTAATGTTCCTGAATGGTTTCACCAAGTTCAGGCAAGACCAATTAGTTCAAGTAAGAAGCGAGGTAGTGGTGTTGCTACTTTTACCAATCCTCAGTGATCTGTTGCCAATAATGTCTGCTGTGATTTCTCAAATGATAATATTGACTGCATAAACACTTGTATAAGTACAACTTCATTTTTATCACGAACATTTATGCCACACCTTGTTGTAGTGCATCAGAACTATTTTTCCCGGTGAATTCACTACTTTCTCTGCCGCTTCTTTTGTTAACTCCGTATCAACAGTAACAGGCACTTTTAATTCTTGTGACTGCAGTTTTCTAACATTGTTAAGTCATGAAAATATCATTAAATTCAACACCTGACTGGATAATTCGCTTGTTCTTGTATTTCTAAATAACCGCGAAATATATGAAGCCTATTGAAGAGCCCCACTGTTTAACTCCGAACACTGCATTGTAATCGTTTTACCCAAAATTTATGGAAAGTTACACATGAGAATCTTTTCAAACATTTCCAAGAAAATTGTACATGGATATTACTCCAACGAGAGCATTCATAATCTTGGGAGACACAATGTCAAATATTACATCTTATCTGATATTGTGTCTTGATATCTGTTGTCCCAGAGAAAACACTTTTCATCAGATTTGTTCGTTTCTCCTACCATAAACTTAATAAGCCTTGTAGGGAAAAGGGGAAGTTACATATAATGAAGGATAACATTGGTGTGAAGAGAAATGACACCCTAACCAAGTCTTAAATGCACAGATTGAATTCAATTTATAACCAGAAGTTTATATCCTTTAGAAATACCTATAATATATGAAAACTTTCCAAAGAAATAACTTGTGACAAGCAGATAAACAGTAGTCTCCATTCATTCGATGTATGTATGTATAAGCAAGGTTTTCATACATTCTCCAACCAATGCCAAACTTTCCAGTGTGAAAAGTGTTATTGAGACCTGCTTCCCTGGTTTCAATACAAATGATATTCTAAAATTTCCCTAGTCACTGAACCCCTGTTGTAGCCTAGGTCCACACGGTTTACCTAGCGTTATTCTCAAAAAATGTGCAGATATTCTATATTATCCTCCCTTGAACATATTTAATGTATCTTTCTCCAGAAATGTTGTGCCAGCCGTTTGTAAGGACATTAAAATTGTACCTATACGTAATTCATCTAATGGAACATGTTTTTAATTTAGATCTACTTCGCTTAACTCTTACATTTGGATGCATGTGAATGTTGTCTGAATCACATTTACTTCACTACAAATGTGCACACACCACTACAAAATGAATAATGCACATCATTTCACTTAGCCACTGACACACTCACTCAGGTGCAGAGTTTAATGGCACATTATTCTTATGAGAAAAGGAATAACTTGAATTGAGCCACACCAGTAAGTCTTAGACAAATGGATGCCTTACACTTCTATTATTTTCACCCTTCTCTTTCTGCATCCACAAACGGAACAATCAGCGAATTTTCCTGCCTTGAATCCACAAGCCCACACCGATAACTTTCATCTTCAATGTGACATGTATTTGTGAAATGGTCTGAGTTCAGATATACTTTCACCACTTGTTATTCAAGCCGATGTGATTCCCAATCCAGTATGTGTGAAAAAGAGAAGTAATTCACTATGGGGAGCAATAATATCACAAATATACTCGAGAAAGAGAGAGAGAAGATGTTTTATTCGGGGATGAAAATATTTTATTTTATATTTCGCTAATGCTAATTTACAAAAGCCTGTAAGAGGCAGAATTCATTACTGGAATTAGGTGTTTGAAATGTTTGAAAACTTTCAGCGACGGTAATGCATCACTGTTGTGGATTCAAGCGTTGCTTCCTTATTTCTTCACGTGTATCCGCAACCTAGATAAAAATTTAAAAAATGAATAATATGTGTACAAACAGTGTGTAGAGAATGGCTCTGTTCTCCTTGAATTTCTATGATTCTGCATGTGCCTCTACTGCATTCCTACTGAGATTCGTCAACACAATCACACACAATCCACAACACTTCATTATATCACATTAAACACTTAAGAGGTATGAATTAATTCTATCTCAGTCTGTATCATTTATTGAGTAAAAGTGTATAGCCTCACAGCATGTGAACGAACACATCATTCTCCATGAATGAGTTTGAACATTGAAAACATCATGATGAAACGCTTCAATATTTGAAATAACATTTGGATTATATACGACCACATATTAAGCTCAGCTTAATTTATTCGCATTTTTCGAAAGCATACAAGTGGAGATGTGTTTATATCAAACTTCATCTGCAGATTTATCGACGATATCAACACGGTAATTCCTGTAAGTTGACTTCATGTTGACTGACACAAAGGGAAGACTGACAGTGTCATCCACTCCTTTTTTTCAACTACGTTCATTATTATCATATTGGGTTAGTTTATCATCGAGATTTAAGGCGGAGACGTGTTGAAATAGTCAGATTGCTAAAGACGCCTTCAGATTTGTTTCATGATACGCATGTCTTGCGAGCATTAGGCAAGTGATCATTAACAGGCATCCGAATGAGAATGTTCACCGTCTTCATGTACATCGCGATCAACTTCATTTGTGAAAACTATTGTCTTCAATCTCTACAGCTTTTACTACAGTCAGAATACTTTTCTTTTCAGTGAATTGTTTCTGGTTAGACATAAATAGGCTCAGTAAATACTTTCATTTAAAAACATCAGCTCACCTTCACAGCAGCAGCCAAGTCGTTGAAGAAGCCACTGAGGTCTGAAAATTGAAATGAAGAGTTGATTATTTTCACTGGGTTTCACTTTCCACTGTGGGATACGCTTTCCTGTCACATCGTGTTCGTTGCACAGAAAATAATATAAACAATCAATTCGAGTGCGGACCAGAATGTAACGACCAATATACATGTATGTGTTACGTATGTGCTTGTGTGGGTGAAAGTCATGTTCGTAGTGAAATGAAATTACTTTTCTAAAGAGTCAATGCAGACATGGACTTCCATCACTGGCCATCATTGTCCTCATGGTGGAATTCAAAGCCATTTTAAGAGAACTGCTTAGAGCTCTAAGATTTGCAGATGTAGTAGTAGATTGACGCGAATCGAAATGTTCATTAGCAGTCAGTAGGCAAACTCATACAGTAGCATTTTTCAGAAACCTATTCAACATCAAAGTGGCTGCTTCAGGAAGGATAATAAATTCACCAGTCTAACCCGTAAACAAACTAGGAGAATTTTCATGTGCTTACACGTGTTTTGAAAATATCTTGATCGCCATATGGATTCATTTGATAACCAAACTTTCAATGTTCTGAAAGCTATTAAACATCAAATCATAAAAAATATCACATTACAGGGTGTGAATGAATTGTATCACTTCATTTGAGATGAAAATGAAAATCGGGAAACTGCATTTATTCTAATTTGACAGTTTTATGTTCTCTCAACTGACTGGCTTTCATATCATTCTGGACAGCATGCTCAGTCGTGGTATTCTTTCAAAATTTGGCTTCCACTGGAAGTGTTTGAATAGGCACATACACACAAAAGTGAAAAATTTGCTCCACTTCACACCTCAAAAGCGCACAGGTGATTATATGACATCCTAAACCATTCATCAGTTTTCGTTTGTGTCTAGACAAATAAATAGGGAGGAGTATCACGCTTTGCATGTGCAGGCGGGAGAACATATTCTGAAATGATTATAAAGAGAGGTGGACATTGGAAAATCAATAGACGCAGGTGGTAGACTACCGACTCCGTCCATAGCCAATCATCTATTCGATCTAAACCATAAAATTGATGTTTACAATGCTAATAAAATCATATATAATAATGATCATGTGCACTTACTGAAATATGCTGAGGTTAAAACTTTTCGCAGACCTAAGCCCCGTCCGGCGGCTGTATGTTCAAGAACAATCTGCAGCTACTCCTAACCTACCTTGGTAATCCTCATATGATTGGATAACCAAACGTAGTGTGAATTAATCTTATTATTCTTAAATGCTTTCTGTCACTTTGTGTACTGCAGTTGACCTGTAATTTTTCATATTAATTGACTTGACAAGTAAATGCGTGAGCCATCAGATTGTTCAAAATTAATTCAACAAATACAACACATCTTCGCCTTCGTCTAATAATACTACCGAATTTTATGGAAACAAAAAGAGCAAATTCAAATTACCTTCTTTGAATTGCGTTGGTTCTATGCATGGTGAATGTTTTATAACAATCTGCTCATCTGTAAAATCGAGAGGGATGACATAACAGTGATAAAAGTACTAAAAAGTCGTTTTACCACAACGCCGGGTATCATAAGGTGTTTGGTTGGCACAGAAAGTTTATCCAATATGAAATTACGTTGTACCATAGTGCCCAAATTTCACACTTATGTTAAGAAATCAAAGTCACTGAATGCATAGTATAATACCTCTGGCGGTTAAATATCCACTCGATAGACAAAGCAGCTGTGTTTGCTTTCCTTCACGTCAAAAAATGTCGAAGAGGCAGTATTCCACCCATATGATGTACAAATGGGGAAAGCAGGACAGGTAATTTTACACTTAAATCCCTCTTCCACAGGATTTGAACAAAGTAATAACAAAGACAATATGTTCAAGCATTATCTTCATCTTGGGTTCCAAGTGAAACATTAGTCCTCAACCGCACAAATCTATTTTGTCGTGTTGGCAACAGTCATGTCCATCTTCCCTATGACCGTCCGTTCTCTATCATCTCTTTCTCGCATAGTCTCCCTCATGTGAGCATCACACTCATGTCCAACGAATAGTCCTCCATTCAGTTCCATCCGAGTGATTGCCTGGCGCGTGACGGTCTCTACAAAGTGAATACGATCCATCTCCGTTAGCTTCCGCACATTTGATGATTAGTATTGTCTTCATTAGTTTGTTCTAATTTTGAGTTTACCTTGCTAATTCCTTCTGGCCAGCGGACCATATCACCTCCATTATGGAGCCACTGAAGTCAGCTGTTGATGTAGGTGTGCAATAGGTCTGTTGGAAACACTCTTTGTGGTGCACAAGTCAGCTGTCTCACCTACAGGAAAGGAGTGATTTAGTTAAAACTGGTGTTGAAACTCAGAATTTGGTTGTTTATGCTAAGGCGGTGTACAGTACATTTCCAAACTGATTTCCGATTGATGAATGTCTCTCTTATCTTTCCGATTCTAGCTGTTTGCGACACTCTCATGCATTCCGACTCTTTGTAGCTGAAACGATGATTCCCGGCCAGAGAGGTGAATGGAGTAGCCTTCTACAAACTTCTCCCAGTGATAAGGATTCATGCTTCATATCGCTGTTAGATGGTTATCTTAATCACCATCGTCTCCTCAATGTCCACCATTCAGTCGTTGACTTTTTGTGACGCTTAACACAAACCGGATATTCTAGAGTCTTCTTATGACTTCCTCTTGCACAGTCTTCTGCATAATCCAATCCACCACAATTAGGAATATCATCAGTGATAGTTGGCACACGTGATTCAATTAAATTCACGGTGAACGGAATTCATTCGATTTTTTATTCAGCATTTATTCTCAACAATAGCTAAACTTTATTATTCAATAAGGTTCAACTTCAGCATGAAATGAGTTGATCACTTTCACGAAGACAGCTTACAACATAAACATTCATTTAGGTGAGCTAACTATTTTATGAAAAAAAGTTAAAGGTTTATGCATGAATATTTATTGCATTAGTTATTCCTCACTTTTGAATCGATCAATCTCTTTTTGTACAAAATCAATATGCTGCTGCATTTCCTTCATATAGGGACCTGAATGATGTATCGAAAAGTGAACATTTACTCCAAGTTGAATTAACAATTACTTATAAGTAGGTATGTGGAAATTGTGGAAATTTTCCATATCATATTTAAGAAAATGAAAGTTCAGAAGGAAGCTTCCGATGGTCAATGAAATATTCATCGCTTCGGTGTCTCTCACACATACAGTAAAATACGATAAGCAATTGGGAGGATATTGCAGAAAATGTTTATAAAACTAATGTATATACCTACCATACGTTTCATGTAGACTATCAAATCTCACCATAATTTCTGAAATTTATTGTGAAAAGACGTCTTATTTACGAGATATGCTGATTTAGTTTAGTGAAGTAATATTCTATAGAATATATTCGTGATATAAGGCGATGAAGATCATTTGAAGACAACCTGGTCATTCAATTAAACTTATTTTTCTTTTGTGACCATGGATACCGTGAGCATTAGATGTCCTCGAAAATACTTAAAACAGTGTGTTCCTTTAACAAAATTTAAATATCCTCATTGGAGATAACGGAGTTGTTCCGGAAGAATTTGAAGTATTGCCTAACCCACTCGAAACACTGTGTCCCTACACAAACACACAGACAAACACTTGAAATTTCAGTTTGAATGAAAATGGAGGAGGTGTAATGTCTAATGAAGCCGTCAGAATTAAACAGGAATTTAGGGATGTTATGGATGATAACTGATACTGCTCCTGATAGTCTGACAAGAATAATGAAAGGAGGATCAAAGCAACCAGAAATGGTTTTCACTCAAGCAAGTTGGGCTTAATTCCACACACGGCAATCACCTCAGATTACTTCAGTATGGATCTCCAGCCTTTTATCTCGTCATATGCAAGCAATTTTAACACCCATTTTGATATTACTCTTATGACTAACGAATTACAATGAATTAGTTCAGTTCATTCAAGTAGTTTCCATTCCCATACAACTGTCTCTTATGTCTCACCTTCGTCACTCATCATATCAGATACACCTCAAGAAGGAATTAATCACTGGTGAAAGTGTCAAGAGATTTCTTATATCAAATTAACCACGTGATAAGAAACGAAAGAGGCTCTAGTTTCACCACGAATTGATACCAGTTAAAGAATGATTGGAAACCGGCATAGAAAAAATGGATAGCTCTTTCGTGCTACATTCGGACTCAACAGTAATACACACCCACCGACATTCATCGTCAGGAACATGCAGTCGGAAAACAAGCTCGTCGACCATTCAGCCACTGTGAACCAACTCCTCAATGGTCAGCCCATGAATATAAACTTCTAGTAATTCGTGATTTTCAAGGTGACTGGTGCCAGTCAATGGATTCGGAGTGTGTTTATCCTTAGCCGAGATCAGATGAACCTCACCAGTCACGATTTCAAACCAGAAATTCACAGGAATTGACTTCGTTCTGCAGGCAGTCAGTAACTAGGGAGTATCAGATTTATTTATTTATCAAGAGTCAGTTAATAACAAATTTACAAAATTCTTCACAAACCTCGATGGGATTTCAGTCGATTATTCACTTCAAAGAGTTTAGTGTAACACACTACAACTGGAAATTATTTTTGTTTAATTGTCTAATTTATATTTTCGGCTTACACTTATCCATCAGGGTTCTCCTTTTCACTTTCCTCAATAAATGAGCTAAATTATGAGCAAGAAGAAGATGTGAGAAGGTGAAAAAAAAATAAAAATCTGATTAAATTTCTTGATTTATAAAAAAAATGGGTGAAGATATTAAATGGTCGATAAGATAAATGATTCTGACAGATATGATGTCGATGGCTTTGTTGTTTTACACACATTCACCAGCACATACTAAGGATTAATAGACTATTTTGTTTCAGATGATATAGAGATTTATTTTGACAGGTGACAATAATTATCTCGAATCACCTCCATGAGATGTTTGCATCACCTCACTGATATCTCTCACGCGAAATACTGAGTGGATGTGTAGACTACAGTATCAAAATTTCGACATACTTTATAGTTCTCAGTGTTGTAAGAAAGTCAGTAATTATTGAAGGTCAATAATGACGTTCATCAGAAATGAATGCAGATAAAATTTATCTGGTAACGTACTTTTAGTAGCATTAACTTGCCACTGTGCAACCTTCAAAAGATTGTCACTCCGATTTGCCATTCCTGTAACGAAATTGAATATTAAACACAGGAGGCATATATTTTAAAGACCACTCAATAAATATCTACATATATTATTTTATCCCTAACTTCAAATCAATCACAGATAATCAGAGATGATTGCGAAACTATTTACAATAAGAAATTGAGAATGAAGAGGGATAGAGGTTGATTTCTGTGAAAATGTCAGCACACTCTTTCGAACACACCCCAATACGCAAGAATGCAATGCACTGCAAAATAACCCTGTTTGATGTGAACCATATTAGCATGTGAACTAATCACAAAAAAGAAGTCAAACGGCATTTAGTCCCATCTCGTTCAACAAGAAGGTATAATGCATTGCCACCTCACCATTGAACAAGCCAGACCAACGAACCATTGCTTCATATCGAGTCTCTTTTTCCAAAGTTTCATCTAAAAGAAAAAAATGTAAAGAATCTGCGATACGCTCCAGTAGCATATGAATATTCAGAATGAAGTGTCAAGAAATATTACAGTTAATAGTTATGCATTGGCTATCCGTGCTGATTTTCAGCCATATCATTTTACTGATGTCTATCGTGCGAAATACTGTGTTGGTGTGTAGCCTGCGGTATCAGAATATTGAATTTTTTACCATTGTCAATGGGCTGTGTAAATCGTGTATTATTGTGTGTGATAAGTGACCTAAGTGAAAAGTAAATGCAGTGATAGTCTGTCAGGTGACATACTTTTATTTCTAACGCCAAAGATTCTTCGATTTGCAGGATCAATAGGGTCCCTTCTTGACAATACTGAAATGGAATAGAATTTTTATTTGATGAAGCTTTAATTTTAACAATTTCTTCAAAAAATCCATAAATTAGGTTATCCTTAATTTCAAATTGTCCACAGATATGCAGAAAGCAGACACATTCTCAAGGGATCTTTAGTCGAAATACTCATAATTCATGCTATTTTGGTGTGACACAGACATTGGGTTCCAACGGAGTATTATTATTCACACATTAAGAGTCATTGCATTGGTCGGTATTAACGAATTAATACTAATCACACAGTTGAGTTAGGCATTAGCAGCAGAATAATGTGTGAAATTGAACATCCTATTTCATGTCGTTTAATTTAAAACAAAATCACACGCTCCGGAATCGGTTGAAGAATAAATCATCGTCTGATAACTTGGAAATAGATTTTGGATTCCCGGGTCTTGCCTCTTGCTGTTATAAAGCTATTACTAATTTGAAATTTATATCAATGAAGAATAAAAGTTGATTTCTGTTGAAATTTCAGCACACACACATGCATACAACCACACAATGTATTGCACTAGAATGCGAAAGAAAACAGAGTTCTCCTTCCTTGTGCTGTGCAAACTAACCCACTTTAATGTGAACAATATTGTCATATGAACTAATCAGAGAACAGGAATCAAACTGCACATACTGTCATATGAATGAAACAGTAAAGATTTTTCATTGTCAACTCACTTTTGAAGGAGTCGTACCAATCAACAGCGCTGGCCCTTACATTTCGCCTCACAGGAATTCTACCTAAACAGAAAATGTAAAATAAGTGCAGATTAACAGGAAGAGACCTCTGCATCCCCAAGCTGAAATGCATTTTACTATCAGCGTATTACTTTGCCAGAAAGTGCATCAGCTAAAGTTTGGAGAGGTCATTATTGTACACACAGAGGTACAGACCAATAATGACTTCCAACTCCATTGAACAAAAGTGCATTAGTGAAAGGCCAATTACATGAAGCTTTATGACAGTATCTATATTGGATGTAAAAATGTGGAATATTCGAGGCAGTGAAAAGTCGTTGGTTTACAATTCATACCAATGTTACTGACAACAGTCACCTGTCTCGAACACATTCATATTGATCATGATATGTGAAAGTGTGTTGATGAGTAAAGACTGGATTACCAATCAGTTGAGGCACTGGTTTATTGGGTGTGACTGCTTAGCATGACAATAATTAGTCGATTCACTGTCTCCCTGATTGTTTCGTTGGCAATTGTGAATAAAACACTGTGTTGGATTGAAATAGAATCTAAATGCTGATCAACTCCACACGACTCAACAAGTCTCTAAAGCTCATGGAAGCACTGGCACCGAACTAGTCTTCAATACGTCTACTCTCCTCGTTGTTCTAACAGCTGTGGGTGTGTGTGTGTGGATCGCCACGCCTACTGCGGAAACGAATTTCTGGTAGGCCTTCTCGCCTCGATGATAACTGATGCATTTTGCTACCGCTTTTGTTGTTGTCTATGGTGGTGGATGTGGTGTTGATGTCAGTGGTTATGGTAGTCAAGCAACCTTTTCTTTTCCTCTGTTATATATGCGTTCGAATTTGTTCTTTTCTTGACTGGCTCTTTCTCTTGCCAGTTGGTCTTTTTCGGCAGATGTTTATGTGAAATGATTTATATGTCATTCTTGAAACTTCAATTTTCGTGTTTCCTTCCGTAAAACTCTCGTATGTTTAGTTTGTCGTTATTCAACCAAACACAGTTAACGATTTCATTGATGATAGTAGGTACATACTCAGCATTCATTCTACCTCTTCTACCATCAGTGATGAGTAACATAGCCCTGAAACAAAAATTTACCCTCAGCTGATATAGTGATTCTAATGTACTGTGATGTTTACGTTTTCTGTACTCTCACCTTCGTTCACGATGTATGGAAATTTAGCAGGCTATACATTATTAGACAATATAACGCATTATCAATCATAGTGATAACTTTATTCCAAACAGTGCTTTCAGTACAAATATGCAATTTCCTGCATGTTGTACAGTATGGCATAAAATCATCTCATTACAGGAGTAGTAGGTAAAAAGGAGGGTGGCATTCAAATTGATGAAATTGTTCAATAAAAAAAATGAATACAAAATTAAATAAGGTGAAAAAATATCACAGGTCTAACTATTCCATTGAGTTGGTGGTTCAGCATTAGAATGCTCGAGAAACACACCACATGGCATCTGATACTCTATCCACCGCCATAGACGCACTCTAACACCTGAACAAGCAGGTACTACGTACAGTAAAGAGCGAAATCTGAGTGTGAGACGAGTAACCCCGTGCTGTGAAACATGAAACCACTGCTACTGAGACATCAGAGCTCAAGTGGAGAGGCGTTATTTCCTACCGGAATTTAGTGGAACAAAATCAATACACAGGTAAAATATAGCCCTACTTACCCCTTCGTAAATTCGATTGAACAAGCAGTGGAACGACAATAGTTATAAGGAGGACTGTGTACCGATTCATCATGTTTATGTTTGACTATTCAATTCACCAGTATTTATACTTATGCTGAAATTGAGATGTCTGTGAGCACAGTATAATCCTCGATTGTGGTTGGCCGGTTCACTCTGTCTTACTCTGTTTCACGTCCTGATTGGATTCTGAATGAAGTGATACCCATGGTTGATCAAAAAACAACTTGTGTGCGCCAATTATAGTGAAGAGAGTAAGCAGAGAGAATTCGGAGAGACTTCACATTCACAAACATATTGGAGCATTTCAAATCTTATGGTACAATGGAGTAAACAAGTGAATGTGGAGGTTGAAGAAGAGAAATTCATTGATGTTCACACATAAACCACCTTTGAAATGTTTCCACATTCACTTTGTGGCGCTGAACTGGCTTCTTCTCTAGCCAGAAAATTCAAAATAGAAATTTTCGGGGAAATACATTGTCAGTGAAAACGAACAGTCCACCAGTTGAATGTGACAAATCAAAGAGCGCTACTTCAACATATATACAGATGAATTCATTGAATTGCAGACGGTAAATTCATTCCCAACTCACCCACAACCACTTGTCGACCAACACAAAGAAGGCAAAACAGGCAAGAAATTAGGTGGTTCAAATCAGGTGTTGTTGAAATCGTCAAATAATTAATTCAGTAAACATTTACACATTATTTTAAAGCCGATCATGACTTTGGCACACTGACAGAAAATGCCGCATATTGAAATACCACCAAACAACATTCCTAATTGAGTCTAACCACATTATTGCCAAGGTGATCACACCGTTGCCTAATGCAAACAACATATGGAAACAAAGACATACTAAAACCCTTTGCACACAAAACTTACTCATTGTCTATCAGACTCATGTGACCTCTGAGAGAGTACAAATCTCATTTTTCAGCTCACATTTCCTGTAAACTGCTCAGATTTCTTCAAAATAACATCAGGTATAGTCTCTGTATTATTACATATATATATATATATAATTACTCTCCAGAAGTCCGGTCCTGTATTTACAGAATCACAGTCGAAATAATTTACTTCCAGTGCACAGTTTTGTTGGGGATATTCTGCTATTATATAAATCGTGAGGGACTCCCATCTCATGTAATTGAGAAGAGAAAAGTCAGCGGACAGATATCTCATTTTTGTAGCTTCTTGTGAAAAGTGGTCAACTATGTGGTTGTGTGTTTGTGAATGCAGTAAAGGCTGACAAGATGAGTCAGAGGTTACTGCCAGTAGCAAGGTAACATAGTGAATCAAAATGTATGAGTGACAACTATGATGGTGAAGGTGAGAATAATTCTACGTAATAGAGCTTACTAAACAGTTAGTCAGCGGAGCGAAGAAGGAAGGAGAAAATAATTACGCACCAAGGCCATGTTAGTAAGGGAGGCTTGATAAAATGTTTGCAAACACAAATTTCAGGTTTCTCCTTAAGCACTGCTTGGGTTTAGTTTCACGAATAGTATGTGGATGAAACCACCTCGAACTTTTTGGTTGTACTGGATTTATGACTGTGAAAGTATTCTCCGCTGTTTCCGTCTCGCCAGAATTGACGATATGCTCGATTTTCAACATTTAACCATACTACGTTCTTTTTTGACAAACAAGATGTTAAATTATCATGAGTGCTACTAGAAAATGTGCTGATGGCACAGACTATGCATTGTGCTCTACACAGGCAAGTGGAGTGACTGAAGTTGCCAACAGTGAGATCTCGTCTTTTGACATTTTGATGAATGGCAGTGTGTGTGTGTGTGTGTGGAGAAAATGAGGCGTAGCAATGAACCATAGAACCGTCTTCGAATTACAATCAACTGTGGGCATCGAAGAACCCTTCTAATTGTACCTCTCTTGAATCTCAAATTTATGCCTAATTGTTTCTTCGCCAAAACGAGGTGTCGATTCGGAAGAGTCTGACTCTTTGGAACACATCACTACTCCGTCTATCTGTAGGTTAATTTGATCACTGATTAAAACCGAAGATTCATTGTGCATTTTAGAATTAGATCGTTGACATTCTTTTGTGATGGTTATACCGAAATTCGGATTATTAAAGGCGGATGACTCGCGCAGACAGAATAAATTTGCCGTTAAGATGACAGTGGTAAATATGGAAACTACGTCTCACGTGGCCGTAGTTCACCTAAATTGATTCACCATCTGAATTACTGAATCCACTAATTTGAAGGTACCCTTCAAAGATGGTTCGCTACTAACTTTGTTACAGGCGCGAAAGTTACGGCTAAAAATCTCAATTAAGAAAAATATGGCAATCTCTTGATATGTTTGACTGTTCAAAGAGAAACAACAACATATTCGTGGAATTTTTGCGAGCGACATACGTGTGAAACGAAAGGATTACACAAACGAAATATTGAGAAGATTTCTGAAAATATTAGAGCATCGCAACTAATTCCGAAATGCAACTTATGGAGTGCATTCGACTATCTGTTGCATTTCTGTTTCCCGCAGGCTGAATTTTCAATTTACAATCGTAGATGGTAATTCCGTTCATGTTTGGAATATACTCAAGTCTACTAGGTGACACCACTACATCGACCTTACCTAATCGTGGACATGTTAATTACGAAGTAATTGCTTCAATTCAACGACTGCTGTTTCATGGGACGTCCCTGACCCTCTCTTTCCAGTTATTTAACTCCTGAAAACTCTCAAGCACAGTTGACTTGAGGTGTTGTAGTTCTTCGTCAGACACAGGGACCACCTCTTTTTTTGGCTAAGTGGAATTCATGAAATAAGTATAAAACTTGGGCACTGTGATGGAGTATAAATGCATTATGGATAAGAATTTATTTTGATGAATCACACAGTGTTGTACAATTATATTACCTGATGACGTTTCGAGCACAAACTATGCCTCATAATTATATCAGCTTGACATGGTTATGAGCAATAGTTTGTGATCGAAACTTCATCAGTTAATATAACTGTACAAAGCCGTGTGATTTATCAAAATAAAATCGTATCCATAATGGATTTAGAATTCCTGAATTCGACTTCCGTGTGTCTGTCCGATATGTCTGTTTGCGGGGTCGGTGACACAATTCTAAGCCACATGATAATGCTGATTCAGTGTTGGTTTGATGTGAGTGTCACATTTGATGAACCAGAGACAAATTCCCCTCGATTCAGTGCGATTTCTCCAGGATATCCACAGGCTCCAAGGAAAGAAGTAGCATGTGCTTCAACTCCCACACAACTTCTCCAGTCACATAAGACACAGAATGCTCAAGTCCTGATAATGCACCACTAGATAAAGGATCACGCACACAGCTCATTTGTTCGGTGCTTCTTTTGACAGTAAGTGCTCTTATGTATTAGTTCCTCAGTGTTGCTGAGTTTATGGAGTTCGATGCACGGAAATATCCGTTTGCTTTATTATAATGTAGTGATTTATTCAATTTTTCCTGTCATTTGCTAGCGCAAGCAAAACACTACCATGTTATCAGAAATTGACAGCTGTGGGATAGCTGTTGAAAACCTTAGAGAACTAGACAGCTGTTTCTCGCTAGTTCATCAACATATGTACATCACACAGAGTGACAGGAATCTGAAAATCATGGTAATTGCAAACCAGTGAGTAGATTTCCTATTCTTTAAGAGCATATGGCCTACTACAAATCACTGGATCCTTCATGTCAATTCGTCACCAGATTACCTGCATTCACGCTAACTAACTCACTCAATCATCCTCCCATTCATCCAATCACTTCTCCTTCTATTCTTCCGTGGCATCGATCATTTTGAGATAGTGTGGGAGATAAGGATGAGAGGTGTGTAAGTGTAGACGATGTGAGGGGAGTGAAACAGTCCTACAGAGCTCAAACTCTGAGGAATACATTCACCATTCAGGAAACCAATTAAACATGTAAACAGCCAAAGAAGTTGGTGGCAGTGAAAACCTCACGAAAAATCAGTGAATGACAGAGAATGAGTTAGGCGATTTGGAGAAATTAAAGTGAAGTAAGAGAAACGTGGTCAATCTACATTTGAAATCTGAGTAAGAAATAAAAATATAAGGATGAGTTCATTGAGAATAAAACAAAATCTTGTCCACGCAGATTATATTCAGCCACATAAACCATAACGTCTCTCTTGTGTTCATTTAGGTGTGTTTGAATACGCTATGAGTTTTATCAGTGTGACACCACTATTTCTAATTAACCAACATTCTTCCGATGACCTGAATCTTTCGATAACACAAAGCATTGACTGATTATATTTTGAAGAAATACTCTTTTGTATTTATTGTATGGATATATATCTTTATTCAGAATGATAGCGATAATGATTCTTTTAATATTGAAAATGGTATTATTAATATTACAAGGATTTGAATAACTCAACTTATTACCTGGCATCTGAGTTAATACTCTCACTGATTAATTCACTTCAGAGAGATTTTCTCACACACTCATGCACACGAGATATGATAGTGAGAGATATCGATACACACGGAATGCGATGAGTTCACTGTCTCTTCCACTATCAACGATGCCATACACACACGTCCTCTCTACTGAGTAAAATAACATAATACTTATTAATAATATGTTAATATTTATACATTATTATTAATATAATTTTTATTTATTTATCATAAAATTGCGGTGAACAATAATAATTTTAGTCTCATTATATTTGAAACAGTCAACTGGATACTGCGTAATTCTCAGTATTCCATACAATATCACAAATTATGCATTCGACTACTGAAGATGAAATCGAAAATAATGTTGGAGGATAGCTGGCAACAGGATTGTCGGATTAGAAGTGACAATCAAGTTGAAAATATTCAAAATGTGTAAATTAATGGTAATAATGTTAGTCTGTGAACCTGTAAATTAACTGAATCTGTGAATTCATTGTGAGCTGTAATCAGCAATTTAATTTTCTAAAATGGTATGAAATAGATTTTCTGATCAGTACAATGTTTAAGCCTACTTTGCGTGGTGTTTGAATGTATTGAGATAGTGAGTGATGTAGAAAACGAAGTTTGAAAAGAGTCCCGTTGATTTCTGCGTGAAAAGGTTGCTGTGTACTTGGTATGATTCCAGTTATGAAACTATAGTACCTACACGTTTTGTTGTATTATTATGGGCTATTTCTGTACTCAGCCAAAGGCGAACAACGTTGCATTAAGAGCCCTGAGTGGCAACTCAAAAAAGATGTATTGTGAACGAAATCAAATTTCACTAATTGTGAGGCGAAAGCAAATGTGCATAAACGCGTAAAATGTACGTATATAGAACAAACGGAAAGCAATGTCCAATCATACATAGGCAACCATGGGTATAACGAGCTGCTGTAAGCGTATAGCATGCCTACCGGTAGGCTTCCTATAGGAGTGCCACACAGGTATTTCTAATCCTTCTTATTTGTTTGGATAAGACGGTATGCGTTTTATGACTACAAGTCATTAGTTGCTTTATTCAAAACATTTGTCTCATGGGTATTTACTTGGTGACCAACCAAGTATACTTTAACTGAGATGTAACGATATCGATGAACTTCTAAAAATAAGACTGAATACGGAGGAGAGTAAGCTTAAAATTATGGATAGGAAATTCCTCATATGCAGTGTGGAAAGAATGAAAAAATAATCATTGGCGTCAACATAGAGTAAATGTTCATTCAGACATTTAGAAGTCATAAAAGTATTTTAGAAAATATATTATTTGCGAAAATTTCTTCTTCCGGCACTACAACATTTGAAAGCAATACAGTGATGTGCTTTGTGCACAAATCAAGAGCAATCTGTTCTGATGAATTTCTTATTGAGGAGCGTGATATTATTAAACAGTTGCTGAGTGAGGATGGTCACCTAGAACATTTCATCGATAATAATATGAATCAAAAGTCGAGGCTGGCCAGAGTACCGACGGTTCCGAATAAGGCTCTGTTCTCACAATTTCAGTTCTTTGAGAATGACCTCAGTGAGATGTTAACACACCGCCTACGGGATTCTGTGGAGGAGCATTCTTTGCTGCTGTAATACGATATATCCTCACAAACCTCCTTTTTAACGTTCCAGAGTTAAAGACGAACTGTCCAATTTTGGCATTTCTTTGTGTATCTACCAATAGGACAGCTCCTGTGGAGTCGGCTAGGTGTTTAGGTCGTACAACCAAGTGTGTTTCTCATCGGATTTCCAAAAATCACACTGTGTGGTAAAGTACACAACAAACAAAATTCATTCATAGAGGAATTCTATCTAATCTAGTGGATACAAAATATAGGAATGATGTTAATTAGGTTTTTGAAGTCATTAACCGCATACCAACTAACCCTAACTTCATTTTAACAGTTAGTCTAGTGCATATTGCTGGGTCTATTGGAATTCACATTAAGAAGACTGAGGGCGTTGGTTCAGACAATTTCCCTGCCTTAGCCTCAAGATTTATATGATCCTTATTTATGTGTAGTGATTTCCTGTTCACTCGAATTTCATAAGAGATGCCGAAAGCCGAATCATTGAATCGTGCACTTAATTTATGGACTTCGAATAAATTACCGGATTTCATCTCTCCAGATTCATGCTTCATTTCAAGCAAACGTAATCTCTAAACTCCAAGGAATCGACAGTGAGTGGTGAGTGACGTTTCACATTCTCACGATAAAACAAATAGGACTGACAGCATATTGAATACGTAATCGAAAACAAATTTCAAGCGACACACTTGATTCTGGTGAGATTGAAATCATCGCTTGACAATGAAATTTCATGAAAGAATCTGCAAAGAAAATAAAAAGTTCGTTATTTTTCCTCCACAATTGCATGTCCATAGTCTTGTACATGGTTGATATAACATTTCAATCCTTCGTACTGTCACACTCATGAGTTATCACAATTTTCAAACTTTGATGTAAATTCGCTGAAGAGCATTCATGTCACGACCTAATGCTGTATACTATTACCTGTGGTTTGGTAACTTACTATGCCAGTTGTATTGAGGACCTCGTCAGGTAGTTCGAAATGGGATGTTCAATAGAAGGAACAACTAAAACAGGAGTTAATTAAACGTTCACTGAAGCATTTCTATAAATGCATGCTGGAGACATCGCCAGAGAGGTGCAAAATTTCACTAAAATATTACAGTAATCATGTTTGTGTACATGCACCATTTCAGACCACGGGTTTATTGATAAGTCTCGATGTCCACCCTCCTATCCATTCTTTCGTTCATCCATCTCATCCTATCTCTCGCGTGTGACGATTTTGAATATATGTCATTCCTTGAGTGGAAAACTATCATAATCATCATCTTCACTACATGGATGTGATAATTACCGGTGATTGACGATAAAATATGCACCAATCCAGAAAACTATTCTCCTCAAATTAATGTGTAGCCGGCGGTGACTGAAATGACAATTTTAAAAACCGAATCATCTTGTAATTCTCATGTCAGCGTGGAGGAAATCGGAAGTAAAGTGTTGCTCATCAGGTGTTCGCAAATCAGTAAACGGAATTGAGTATTCTTCCGAAGAGTATGATCTATCACAAACACGAATTCCTCAATGTCAAATCTTCTCCAGATTATCTATATTCACACTAACTCACTCACTCACTCAACCAATCATCCATCCAACCATCTACATATTCATTCATTTATTTTCACATATTTTAGTTCATTTTCACATGATATGGAAGGTGAGAGGGAGAGATGTGTGAGTGTAGACGATGTGAGGGGAGTGAAACAGTCCTACAGAGCTCAAACTCTGAGGAATACATTCACCATTCAGGAAACCACTTAAACATGTAAACAGCCAAAGAAGTTGGTGGCAGTGAAAACCTCACGAAAAATCAGTGAATGTGAGAGAATGAGTTAGGCGATTTGGAGAAATTAAAGTGAAGTAAGAGAAACGTGGTCAATCTACATATGAAATCTGAGTAAGAAATAAAAATATAAGGATGAGTTCATTGAGAATAAAACAAAATCTTGTCCACGCAGATTATATTCAGCCACATAAACCATAACGTCTCTCTTGTGTTCATTTAGGTGTGTTTGAATACGCTATGAGTTTTATCAGTGTGACACCACTATTTCTAATTAACCAACATTCTTCCGATGACCTGAATCTTTCGATAACACAAAGCATTGACTGATTATATTTTGAAGAAATACTCTTTTGTATTTATTGTATGGATATATATCTTTATTCAGAATGATAGCGATAATGACTCTTTTAATATTGAAAATGGTATTATTAATATTACAAGGATTTGAATAACTCAACTTATTACCTGGCATCTGAGTTAATACTCTCACTGATTAATTCACTTCAGTGAGATTTTCTCACACACTCATGCACACGAGGTATGATAGTGAGAGACATAGATAAACACGGTGTGATGAGAGCAGGCCGTGAGAAAATATGAGCAAGGCTGATTCAACAACCAATCACAGCAAAGTTAACGTGGCAAAATATGATTCGCAGATAGAGAACTCTATTTGTCGAGGAATCCCGAAACAACCAATCAGAAGCCTGCGTTTGTCTGCCTAACTTCTGATAAACAACCAATCAGATGACTGTGCTTGTCTACTTGCATAAGCTATAATAATGTATGTGAAATATGTATAAATACGTGTTGATTTTCATAATAAAACGATCTGTTGCCTGGCCCTTGTCTTCTGTTGTTACATTTGGTGTCGCTGCCTACCGACAAATGGAAAGCCTATGGCCTGCTGTTTTTGATGGAGACATATGGATCTTCGGGCAGGACTTCAAGGCTTCTGCGCAGTTGAGTGGCGTTCAAGATCTGTCAGCGATGGAGCTGCTACTTGGGACGCTGCTGGGAGGTCGGGTGAAAGCAGCATATGAAAGTGTGAGACGAAATACTGACGAATGTTCGACAGGGTCAGGCAAACAGTTTCCAAAGTGGGAAGGACCACATATGGTCACTTCGAGATGGGATTACGCGGACACAATCGCAATGACGAACAATGAGAGGCGCGTGAACGTCAGCGAGCTCCAGAAATGGATACAGCGAGACAAGCTAACTATGACGCCTGCACCAAGTAGATCAAGCCGACTTCAGTCGCACGTATTTGACGGGGGGACGAGTGTGGTGAGAGCAGGCCGTGAGAAAATATGAGCAAGGCTGATTCAACAACCAATCACAGCAAAGTTAACGTGGCAAAATATGATTCGCAGATAGAGAACTCTATTTGTCGAGGAATCCCAAAACAACCAATCAGAAGCCTGCGTTTGTCTGCCTAACTTCTGATAAACAACCAATCAGATGACTGCGCTTGTCTACTTGCATAAGCTATAATAATGTATGTGAAATATGTATAAATACGTGTTGATTTTCATAATAAAACGATCTGTTGCCTGGCCCTTGTCTTCTGTTGTTACAACGGAATGTGTTGC